TTGGAGCATATATGAAGAGGACCCCACTTCCACTTCGCCTCATTTTTGCTCTCTCTCTCTCTCTCTCTCTCTCCCATTCATTCCTTTCAGCTTATTGTCATGACGTGATTCCTAAGACGCTTGGAGGATGGAAGACATGCATGCTGGTTGGCAAAGAGCAGAGTTTGACTAGGAATGGTTCCAGGGAAGGGGAGTGCAGGAGCACAGGATGGTACCTCTTTAGAGTTCAGGCAGGTAGACTCGGTTGAGTGCGAGGAGCTTGTCGCTGGTCGTGGACTTGACTATGAAGAAGGGAGTTGGCCATCCCTGCATAAACTGGTTGGGAGCTGAAGCCGTTCCCCTGATGAGACCAAGGCAGGTCGAAACTAGTCAGCATGTATCCTTGGGAGGGCAGGTCGTGGTGGCTGACCAGGGTGCTTGCGCGAGCTGAAGCAACGCCTTGGTGCCGCACGGGCCGTGACGCTGCGCCAAATCTCTAGGCCCGTGACAAATGGTATCAGAGCAAGACTTGGGGTAAAGCACGGTGGGGTGCCCCCTTGTTGGTCTAGGAGGGGTCAGAGAATGAAGACGGTGCACTGATGTTGCGTCGATGAGGAGGAATCAATGCAGTTGGGGGGAGAGCCTCCATCTCCCCAGGAAGAGGTGTCCGTTGAAGTTGCGCACTGGAGGGCCGGAGGGCCGCGCGCACCAAAGTTCGTGCTTAGTCCTTGGGTGATGCAAACCATGGTGAAGGGCGAGCATCAAGTCGGCAGGAGGCCCTTGCTTGCTCGGGATGTCGCGGAGGCGGCATGACGGAGAAGAGTCACGTCCTTGAGGAGTGGATGTCCCCTTGGTCCGAGGCCTATCATTGGGTGAGTGCAGTGTAGGGAGCTGCACAAGGAAGTGATGGTGGGAAGATGGGCATACCGCTTGGAGGCAGACTTTGGAAGGGAGTGGACGCAGTGGTGAAACGCCACACTGCGACGAGGGCGTCGTAGGATTTGGGTGGGGGAGAGTGTCACGAAGTGATTCCTAAGACGCTTGGAGGATGGAAGACATGTATGCTGGTTGGCAAAAAACAGAGTTTGACTGGGAATGGTTCCAGGGAAGGGGAGTGCAGGAGCACAAGATGGTACCTCTTCAGAGTCCAGGCAAGTCGACTCGGTTGAGTGCAAGGAGCTTGTCGCTGGTCGTGGACTTGATTATGAAGAAGAGAGTTAGCCATCCCTGCACAAACTGGTCAGGAGCTGGAGCCGTTCCCCTGATGAGACCAAGGCAGGTCGAAACCAGTCAGCATGTATCCTTGGGAGGGCAGGTCATGGTGGCTGACCAGGGCGCTTGCGCGAGCTGAAGCAACGCCTTGGTGCCGCACGGGCCGTGCCGCTGCGCCAAATCTCTAGGCCTGTGACATTATTCTCTCTCTCTCTTTCTATGTTCGATTGTTTCATTCAGTTCTAGTCAAAGCATAGGTGATTTCTCAAGCTTCTGAACATGTACATTCACACCCCTAAAATTATTGTTATGCGAATTGCTATTCAAACAATTGCAGGACATTGAAATCTCTCCTGATGACAAAAGGGTGACTAAAGACGAAACCTTATTGGTTGATAGGAATTCCGATTTGCAGGAATTTTGGAATTCATCCCTTTATTATATTAAAGATGAAGATAGAGACAGAACCCGAAAGAGTAAGCAGTCAGTAGTTTGAGACTTTCTTTTAGCCAGGAAAAAAAGGGGTGGGGGAGATACAACTTTAAGTGTCCATATTTCTTTATTTAGCTCTTTGTCTAATTTTTTGTATTTGTTATTGAGTTTCATGTTTGCAGTAGTGTTCTTTCAGCTCCATTATGCTTCTGTTATAGTTTTTAAACTTTTAAGACATTTAGTCACTTACTTATAAATAAATAAAAAAAGACATTTAGTCACTTAATTGTTTTTAGTTTAGGCATTTTGATCTTAATTGCATCCTAATTATGTTGTCAGTTGTCAAGGAAAATGAAACCTCACGGGAGGAGCCCAAACTTTCAGACTTCGTGATGATTAGCAATGAATATGTTCCTGCTGAATTAGTCACAGGTTTGCCACATCATGGGCAAAAAAAACAAAAAGGGAGTGATAAATAATGTATACTAGACATTATATTTTATTTAAGTTTTGTTGCTTTCACATCAGTTTAACACCAGTAGACAGTGGCCTAATGATATAATGAATGCAGAATCAAAACAGCAGAAAAAGGAGAAAAATCGAAAAAAGGAAGTGAGACGAAAATTGAATCCAGATTCAGGTCCGATTAGACAAAATCTATTCGTTTTGTTTCTCTGCTACTTATCTTTTAGGGTGATCATCTTTTTCTTATTTACGACATCTTTTTGCTAAACTAATCCCTTTATACCAAAATATCTTTGTTAGTTCACCAGTAGTGGAGACTCAGCATTGTTCTTTAATATTAGGTCCATTTGTATCAATTGATTTTAGCGCAGAAATTTGGTAAATTGTTTAGATGGCACTGGATTGCAAAAAAAGTATTAGGATTAAGAGGATGTGTCTGCAGATTTCTATGTTAGAACTTAGAAATGAACTCCTCTGGCTAATTTTGAACTTCTGAATATGCAATCATCCTATTGTGATGGGTTGTGGTTGTAGAATACGGTTGGCTGTCCAATTATGCCAGGCAAATCAGACCTCATTTTCCCCTTGTTAATTCGTTATTTGTTTCGAGGTTTATTTGTGGGGAAGAACTCCTCAAAATGTGTATTACTGTTGAAGTTATGTATGGGTAAATCTCCTCAAGATGTGTTACTTGTTTCGAGTTTTATCTGTAGGGATGAGCTCCTCGATAGGTAAGACCGAGAAATATAGGTTATGCGGACACACATTGTTATTAACTTGTGGAGCTTACATGAATGCCACTGTTAGAACACCAATGATCTCAAAAGTTTAAGTTGTTAGAAAATGACACAGTAATGTATATCAAAAGTTCCTTCCTTCACATGCAATCTCCCCTTGCAAATGTAGAAGCAAATAGACTAGATCCAGATTTTGTCAATATTGACACATCTATCCATCTTAACAATTAGTAAAAGAGTAGTTATGCATTCCATCCGCGTTTGACCTCATTTCTTATTCTATTTTCAAGGATTTTTTGAAGCTTTTCATAACTTGACTATCTGAATTTGACTAGGCTGAATAACATTTTATGTGAATTTTAAATTGTAGGGCATCTAAATCTTCATTTTTGTTGTCCTCATTTTTTATTTGAACTTCTGAATGAATTCAAGTCCAAAATTTTATAGAGATAGATTATCTGAAGTCCCACCTCACCACACGATGAAGGTTGCTAATATTAGTATTTTTGCCAAAGCTGAGGTCCTTGTTATTTGTTCGTAATTCTGTCATTTTATGGTACAATACAATGCCACTGGTTATTTTATCAAACTGATTAAGATGTTTATGTGACAGATCTGCAGAAATTAAATATGTTTGAGAAGCTTGAAAAGAAAGATCAGGTAATGATTTATAGCTTAGTTACCCTTCTACTGACCGTCTTTTGTCAAAGATCGCTTCAGCGAAACAATCAAGAAGAACGTTGACTGTCAGAGTTTATTAATTTATTAATTTTTTAGATTTTTGGTTCTCTCCTTGCGCTGGGTTGGTTTTCTTGATTTTGGTTATTAAATAATCACATTGCTACATTATTAAAGAGTAATTTAGAGTAACCTTTTCTAAAGTTTGGCAAAATTGTGCGGACCTCTATAATTTTTAAAATTATACTTGATTTCTCCTCAGATCTAATAGGGGAGTTTAGTGCAATTTTTGAAATTATTAAGTCTTGGAATTGTAATGTTATATTAACCTTTTTTGACCCTTACAAAAGGAAAAATAATGTTTAAACCCCATACATACCAAATATAAGCTCTTACGATCTTACCAACTTGTCCTTTCGAAGCCTCGGGAAAGACAACCCACCATACCAACAAAGCTTTTTCATGAATTCTCTAAGGCTTCGTTTGGTTAGATGGAATCAATTTGAAAAAAAAAAAGAAATAGAAAATTTTAAAACTTTTTTATAGTTTGGTTAGATATAAAATGAAAAGTTTTTGAAAATTAGGATTCTTATAACCCTTTATTTTCTTTAAAATGTTTCCTTTACAAAACACGGAGAAATTTTATTTTTGGGTGAAAGCATGTCATTTTATATAGTGTTCCTATTTTACCCAACACAATTTCATTTTATATTTGGAAACAACAATAATTTTTTACTAGGTTTCAAATAATTGGAGTCCACTAAAAATTTTATCATTGATAAATTTTTAATTAAGACTTCCATTCCTATTTGTTTTCATTATATATGAATAATAGTAATTCAAAATGTCTAAATTAATTGAAAATTTTAGCATTTTTTAAATATATTTTATTACTAATTGCTTATTATTTTATAAAATAAGGGTAATTTAAGTATCCAAACTATAATATGATATTTTCGTATAATTTTCTTAAAGAAAATTTCTTCGTAACAAATTACATACTAGAAAATTATTTTTTTTTTATTCACTTTATTATTATTATTTTTTTTCCTTTCTTACTATTTTTATCAAACCAAACGGAACCTAAATAAAAATATGAGCAATCGCAAAAAAAAAAAAAAAAAAAAAAAAAAAAAGAAAAGAAAAGAAAAAAGGAATCGGATTTTTTTTTTATCCACTTTATTTTATTTTATTTTTTTTCCTTTCTTACTATTTTCATCAAACCAAATGGAAACTAAATAAAAATATGAGCAATCGCACAAAAAAAAAAAAAAAAAAAAAAAAAAAAAAAAAAACTTCCATCAATTTCAATTCTAAAGCTGAAATTCCATACCTGCCAAACACAGCCTTAGTAAATTCTCTAAAATTGAAAAAAGTTCCCAAATTTTTTTAAAAAGGAAGTTTCATTTCTCCTTTAAGCTCTGCTGATTAGTTTGGTGTCAAATGTCAACGTATGTATCCGCAACTACAAGATAGAATAAATCTTTAAAGTTTCTTTTAGATATATTTTTTTTCCCTGTTTTTTGTGAGTGATCCTTTTTTTGCTCCTCTCTTTCATTTTTTCTGTTACCCATGAAAAACCAATGTTACTTAAAATCCTTTACTAACTTTATATGCTCAATCTTTTCCCCTCAAATTATTGTTATGCGAATTGCTATTCATACAATTGCAGGAAATTGAAATCTCTCCTGATGACAAAAGGGTGACTAAAGACGAAACCTTATTGGTTGATAGGAATTCCGATTTGCAGGAATTTTGGAATTCATCCCCTTATTATATTAAAGACGAAGACAGAGACAAAACCCGAATGAGTAAGCAGTCAGTAGTTTGAGACTTTCTTTTAGCAAGAAAAAGGAGGATGGGGGAGGATACAACTTAAGTGTCCATATTTTTTTATTTAGTTCTTTGTCTAATTTTTCATATTTGTTATTGAGTTTCATGTTTGCAGCAGTGTTCTTTCAGCTCCATCATGCTTCAGTTATAGTTTTAAACTTTTAAGACATCTAGTCACTTAATTGTTTCTAGTTTTGGTATTTTGATCTTAATTGCATCCTAATTGTGTTGTCAGTTGTCAAGGAAAATGAAACCACACGGAAGAAGCCCAAACTTTCAGACTTCGTGATGATTAGCAATGAATATATTCCTGCTGAATTAGTCACAGGTTTTGCCACATCAGGGAAAAAAAATTAAAAAAAATCCGAGTGATAAATAATGTATACTAGACAATATAAAGGATAATTTTGAACTTCTGAATTTGCAATCATCCTTTTGTGATGGGTTGTGGTTGTGGAATACGGTTGGCTATCCAATTATGCCAGACAAATCAGACCTCATTTTCTCCTAGTTAATTCGTTATTTGTTTCTAGGTTTATTTGTGGGGAAGAACTCCTCGAAACATGTATTATTGTTGAAGTTATATGTGGGAAAATCTCCTCAAGATGTGTTGCTTGTTTCGAGTTTTATCTGTAAGGATGAGCTCCACGGTAGGTAAGACCGAGAAATATTGGTCATGCGGACACGCATTGTTATTAACGTGTGGAGCTTACATGGATGCCACTGTTAGAACACCGATTGTCCCAAAAGTTTAAGTTGTTAGAAAATGACATAACAATATATATCACAAGTTCCACCACCCTTCCTTCACGTGCAATCTCCTCTTGCAAATGAAGAAGCAAATAGACTCAGATTTTGTCAATATTGACACATCTATCCATCTTAACAATTAGTAAAAGAGTAGCTATGCATTCATTTCTTATACTATTTTCAAGGGTTTTTTGAAGCTTTTCATAACTTGACTGTCTGAATTTGATTAGGCTGAATAACATTATATGTAAATTTTAAATCTCAGGGCATCTAAATCTTCATTTTTGTTGTCCTCATTTTTTATTTGAACTTCTGAATGAATTTAAGTCCAAAATTTTATAAAGATAGATTATCTAAAGTCCCACCTCACCACAGATGAAGGTTGGTAATATTAGTATTTTGCCAAAGTTGAGGTCCTTGTTAATTTGTTCGCAATTCTGTCATTTTATGGTACAATACAATGCCACTGGTTATTTTATCAAACTGATTAAGATGTTTATGTGACAGATCTGCAGAAATTAGATATCTTTGAGAAGCTTGAAAAGAAAGATCAGGTAATGATGTATAGCGTAGTTGCCCTTCTACTGACAATCTCTTGTCAAAGATCACTTCAGTGAAACAATCAAGAAGAACGTTGACTGTCAGAGTTTATTAATTTATTTATTTTTTAGTTTTTTGGTTCTCTCCTTGCGCTGGGTTGGTTTTCTTGATTTTGGCTGGAATTTCTTCATTTCAATAAATTGTTATGTTGGTGTTTACGTGAAATGCCTAGGGACAAGATGAGAAAGGTGAAAAAGAAAAGAAAGAAGATGAAGAGGAAGAAGATGATGAAAGAATCGAAGAGGGGGACGAAGAATTCAGTGATGATGGGGATTATAATCAGGTCTCTAAGCAAAACTTATACTCTATGTCCATACTTTGAATGTCAGTCTACTTCCGATCTATTTTTGTTGCCTGCTCATACACCTGCATTTGTTGTTTTCATGAAGAGCGCCTTCTTTTTCATTTATATACATATGCTTGAGTAAGGGGATATTGCTGGTTAAGGCTTTGGTTGTAGTACTGTTGTATGGTAGAATAGGAGGAAATTCAGTTCAAGGGGGTTTGAGTTTTCCCAAGTTTAAAATTGTCCTTGAAAAAAATTATTGAACCATTTACAGTACTCATAGTTGCTTGAAGGCAAGACTGGCAATGTTGCCACGGTTTATTTTGTGTTATAATGGGGGTGAATGATATCCTCAATTTTTTATCCTCTTGTTGTCCTTAAAAGTACATAAAAGAAAATTCGGCTATGGTCTCTTCAGCAGCCTAAACTAGAACCATTGTTAACTAAAAAATTGCAATTGTCAAACGTGGGAGGAAAATTATGATTAAGCTCAGAATCTGGTAATCATCGAGCTTATATATCATCAACCTAATTATCTTCCTAATTGTTGTTGACTCCATATCAGTTCCATTTCTGGTCATTGTAATTTCCTGGCAATTCATGTGGGTTTTTAATCTTAAGTTCCAAGAGATCCCACGGTGATCTTGCCTGAGCATCCAAATCTGGAGCAGAGTGAGCTGAATGAGGGGAGAAACACTCCTTACATCCAATCGGATTATAGGGAAAACCTTAGCTCGCTGAAGAAATTACTACAATACCTGATACTTGCTGTAAGAATTCCGTCAAGTCCATGGACACATATTTCCAATGTAAAGGTTGAGATATGAGAGCCGAATTACATCATCAATAATGAACACTAAGACTATGAGATACACATAAATTCAAAAATGAAAAATATAATTATGAAATTCAATGAAAGAATAAAACCTATATCATCATGTTTAATGCATTAAAACAACATGCAATAAACGCTTGAAAATTCAACCAAGCCCATCCAAGATACATGAGGAGCAGTCAAGAAGACTAGCAGTTGAATGAAACGTAACAGAAGATGATGTCATCCCATTGGTTTTGACCTGGAATGAGGTAGTCATGAAATGCTTCCAAAAAAATAACCTTTGCAACTGAAAAACAGGCTAACAAAGAGATTGTTGTCCTTCTTAAGGAAGAAAGTGACGGTTTGGTAGAGATAGAAATGGAAAATAGCCCACAATTCCAATGAGGTTTCAGTCGGCGTGAAATAAACCTAGAAGATGAACCAGGAATCTGTATAGCTTTGAGCATTATGTAAGTACATAATATGTATATATTTATTTAAATGTGTATTTGTCAATTCAGAGGAAAGTTGTTGAACTTTTATCACTGATAGTGTTCTGTGTTCAGTAACAAGAGTGTTTCTTTCACTTGAAATTTTGATCCTTTTTAGTGAATTTAAATTATGCCTAAAACACTTAAGAATCACCCAAGTTTTAAGTATTGTAATTGAGATTTAAACGTACAACTTCTTCTTAAAGATTAATTCTTACCCATTTTCCCCAGTGTCTGAGTTCGATGATCACATAAATTATGAAGTATCCCAAACATGCTGAGCCACTGCAGTCTTTTTCCATTCAAACATTTTTTATTTTTAATTCACTCTTCTCTCCGAGATAGCTCATTTTATTTATAAACTTCTCTTTTGAGCTCTAGGAAAAAAATTTACAAATAAAAGCAGAAAAGCATTTATACTGTAGCCTGAGTTATCAACGGGCACCATATTTATATTCTTATTTTCTAATGGCTACAGGCACTGCTGTTTTGGTGTAGGGTCGTTCTTGTTGGCAACCTTAACTAATTAGCCTCCAAATGGAAGGTAATTTATTTTTGGTCACGAATTGGTTACATGGAATTGGACCATTCCTTGGATTATGTGGAACGTAAACTCTGATGGTTGGCAGTTCCTAAATCAAGGCAGTTCCTAATGGATGTTTTTAAGCTGGATCCTGTGTTGATTGAGAAAGAAATTATTTTGCTTGTCAAATGTAGCTTGAGATATATGATTTTAAGCAACTCTTGGGGACTTTATATTACTATCCCTTTATTTGGATACAAGTATTGCTTTAATCATAGGAGAGTTCCTTTATTATATAAGCTGGCTTTTTATCAGCTTTGTTTGGAGAATGAGAAGAAAGTTTGTTGGAATGCTGGGGTACGAAACAGCAATGAACTACTAATTGCAGCTTATGGGGTTCATGTTACCTATCAAAATTATCTTAGATTTATAATCTTGTGATTCTCCAATGATTGCAGTTTTCTGTTGCTCATATTGTTTGCTAATTACCTTAAATCTAAAACCTTACGTTTCTTAATATTTTTTGTCTATAAAAGCTTGAACATATCTCTCTGTTGAAATTCGTTTGTAATTGACGCTTTGAATAATCTCACAGAACATTGATTTTGATGACGATGAAGATGACTTCAACATGGCTGACGACAATGATGATGGTATGTGCTTTGTCTTATTCGCACTTCATTTTTTTTATAATTTCAAATTGGGACATTTCTTGTATTTGAATGGAGAATTATCAACTTTTGATATTGATGATTGGTCTAACAATAATTCTCACCAAGAATTTGTAATGTTGCAGAAGCGGCGTATTAGATGTTGTTCTTGGGAATGCTTTTCTGGCTTTCTTCAACTTGGCAAATGGAAGCATTCCTTTTCCCCATACCAAATCAGATGAGTTTGAGTAATTAGCATAAGGTTGCTATACAGTCAGAGGGCCTTCTTTTTTGTTTTTTGCCATTTTTTTCTGATTGATTAGGTAAAGAATCAAACTGCTAACCCTACTGTTTCTTTTTAGATACCATGCCATGTTGATTTGACCGAAAGAATCTTATGGCTTTTCTAAAGTGCAAAGTAGGCTACATTACAGTGAGGGATGATGGAACTCACTTGGTTGCTTATATCGGTTCGAGTGAATTAGATTATCTCACTTAAATATATGTTCATCTCTTCCAGATTGTGTCAAGCATCCAAAGATCAGCCATCAAGTGTATTGCTTCTTTGCCACTCAGCAGTTACTATAATGTTCGCCATTGCATATTCTGTTTTTGCTTTCTGTTCACTGTATTTCTTTTTTAAATTTCCGTCTTGAATTTAGCCATTTGTAAGTTTTTGATTGAGGTAGGTTGACAAAATGGTTGTCTTTATTTAGTCTGGTGATACTTATGTCATTGCATTTCATTTGGATTTGATTTGGTACTTTTCTCATTTTAATGTTGGCTGGTCATATTTTGTGAGTCTGTAACTCTGGTTTTTACTTTTTCGTTTGCAGTCTCTAAAAAAAGGGGAGCTTCTCTCTAGTCATGTAATTTCTAACATGGATGCGAGTCCTACTCTGTCCTTATTGGGAGGGGTTTTTGTGTATCAAGTCCATTGTAACAGGCTAAGTGTTTGGCCCTTATAAGCCAAGACACTCTCACGTGGGACAAGAACCTCCAATATTTTGTTTCATCCGAACTCGCGTTACAGCAAGACTTATTCCTTGTCTACCTTAACAGGTTAAGGACATCCGATTACAGAGTAGGATTGGAATTGCTCTAAACTACTTGTAACGTGTTGGACATTTGTCATTCGATCCACAAGAATAAACTCGTGATGCTCTCCAACCGGATTTGATATGACACAAGAATTTCTATAACATCAATCCATTTCATGTTTCTTTATTCTCACCTACACAAGCATGCACAGATGTTACGGACGTGCTTATGCTTGCCAAAAGAAGAAAAAATGGAAAATGAAATTAGTAGGAACTATTATCAGAATATTATTAGGAACACAAGTCTGGACTAATCTGATTAATCCAAGTATAATTTCGGTTTGGAGCCTTGGAGCTTAGGTTGTGCTCAGGTTGAATGTTTTATATATTGGTGGAGTTTGGATTGATTTCTTGATTTGTTCAAAATGCAATAATTAGTTGTCTAAGTTGCATATTTACTTATTTGGAGAAAACAAAAATTGGTTCTTTATTTATTTTGCAATATTAAACAACCATAAAATAAAAAAATCCTTAAATTAAAGCACAAAGTTGTTTGACATTGCTACATTATTAAAGGGTAATTTAGAGTAACCTTTTATAAAGTTTGGCAAAATTGTGCGGACCTCTATCATTTTTAAAATTATACTTGATTTCTCTCCTAAGAGCTAATCGGGGAGTTTAGAGCAATTTTTGAAATTATTAAGTCTTTAAAATTATACTTGATTTCTCTCCTAAGAGCTAATAGGGGAGTTTAGTGCAATTTTTGAAATTATTAAGTCTTAGAATTGTAATATAATTTTAACTTTTTTGACCCTTACAAAAAGAAAAATAATTTTTAAACCCCACCACATATATACCAAAATAGGGGTAATTACACTTATCTCCCCTGAGGTTAGGCCTAATTACAGGCGGTACCCCTAACGTTTAAAAAATTACACTGACCTCTCTCCAAACTGATCGGCATTTTATTCCGGCCATTGACCATGTTAAATGACTAAAACACCCTCTAATATTTTATTAATATGACATGACACTGTGAAATTACTATATTGTCCACAAATAAAGTTATACTTGTGTAGCAAATACACACCTACATGTACAAACCCCCGCCGCCCGTTGTCCCCCACCCACCAAGGAAACCATTTTCTCCGGCGACCAATTTTATTCAATGTAGCCATTTCCTCTGATGATCCATTACATTAATCATTACCACTCAACTTTCCTTCTATATCACACACACCATGAATACATACACAGACAACTACCACACAACCACCACCATCATAATCATCACCACTAGCGGACTCTTCTACAACGACAACCAACACGGCACTATCATCCACAGGTGAAGCCAACGGTAACGACCTAAAATAAGGAGACTGAGGAAGAAGAAAACTTGATGGATCCAAGAAAGTGTTTCAACTGGTCAAACTTATGTATAGATATATAGATGTATGGGCAGGGCAGAACAGAGCTACCATCTCTGGCATAAATTCACCGATCTGAACATGAACATCTGCCGCCTCGACTTTGCCGACATGGACGTGATTGCCATAATATTCACCGGCGAAGTCGCACCCGGTAAAACTCCAGATTAGATGCAAATCCGAATTCAGAAATCGTAGTGAGCTCGGCCGATTCTCGCTGGTGAAGCGGTTCGAGTCGCCGATCAATTGAGAGCTGCGAGACTTGTGAAATGATGACGATTTGACAACGCTAAAGTTGTCAGTCTTTTGGTACTCATTGAGTTCGTCTCGGTCATCGTTGTAGGGATGATGCTTTCGCAAAAGACGATGTTGTCAATTGGGTTGATTGAAGTTCAGATTGATGAAGAACTCGAATAGGTCTTGATCTATGGGGGTTTTTGGATTAAGGTGTACCCACGGACGGCAAAGCCGAGGAGGAGAGCTACTCTGTCGGCGGAGGGGTTTCCATAGATGCCGGCGGCAAGGGGCTCCATTGATTTCAGCAGCGATTGTTGTGGCGGCGACGATTTGCAGCTATGTATATATATGTAGATCTAGAATGAGCCAATGTGTGTGTGTATGTGTATATATATATATATATACCAGTAGATATATATTATGGGGAAGGCGGCGAGGCATGCCGGACGGCGGAGAGGAATACTAAGTAGCCATGAGGGAGCCGACGAAGGGTAGAAGGCGCGGTGGGCGCAGAGGATGAAGCCGCCGTTATTGGGGCAGTGGCGATCTCGGTAGTGATGAGGATACACACACACACACACACTGATATTACATAGTATTTGTCCCTTTTTTTTTTTTTTTTTTTAGGTATATAAGTTATTTTAATACAAAAGTAAGGGTTAAAATGTCTTTGCAAATATAATAAGGGCAAATGTGGTATTACAGGGTTAAAAAGTGCTGATGTCATCAAAAATCATCATTGACCGGCGTTGACTTTCACCGGAGGGGGCTAAGTGTTAGGACGGAGCTAACCTTGAGGGAGGGCGGTGTAATTTTTTAAACGTTAGGGGTACCACCTGTAATTAGGCCTAACCCCAGGGGAGGTAAGTGTAATTACTCCTACCAAAATATAAGTTGTTATACAGAACACTGTGAGAGACCAACGGCACTAAGACAACGGGCAAGTCAAAGAATGTACTGAAGGGTCCTGTGCTCTCAACACAACGGTCAAGCAAGTGATTCAGATAAGTAAGGTCGGGCTAGCCGTTATAATGTAGCCTATATATATCTTCTCTTTGTATCATCATTTACATTTCAATTCAATACAACTTCAATATATCTCTGTCTTTCTCTATCTCTCATAATCAACATGGTCTCAGAGCCACCGCCAATGAGGCTTATGCCGACATTTCCGGCGGTGGTCCAAGGTCCTTAATTAACCCAACCTCTGAGTCATCGTCTCCGCGTCTGTTCTCGTTCTCAACTCTGACCTTGTCCTCTCTCTCTGCGACTGCAAACTACAAAGTCTGCAAGAATAAAAAATTCAAAACCCATATCTTTCAGTTTCCATAGCCCGCTGTTCCAGTTCGGCCCACTGTCTCTGAACTCTCAAGCTTCAGCCGCCAGCCCGCTGTCTCTCATCAGAACGGATTCGCGATCTCAGCCGGATTCTTCAACCGTCGCCGAGCGGACCTCAGCCGGATTCTTCACCACAATTTCCGCTGCTCATCTCTGCCGCCAGCACTGTCATCTTATCTGTCGTCGCTGCCCATCTCCACTGCTCATCTCTGCCGCCGCCGATCGCAGACCACATCAGAGTCTCTCACAAAATCAATCTTAAGCTTGAGAGTTCAGAGACAGTGGGCCGAACTGGAACAGCGGGCTATGGAAACTGAAAGATATGGGTTTTGAATTTTTGATTCTTGCAGACTTTGTAGTTTGCAGTCGCAGAGAGAGAGGACAAGGTCAGAGTTGAGAACGAGAACAGAGGCGGAGACGATGACTCAGAGGTTGGGTTAATTGAGGACCTTGGACCACCGCCGGAGATGTCGGCATAAGCCTCATCGGCGGTGGCTCTGAGACCATGTTGATTATGAGAGATAGAGAAAGACAGAGATATATTGAAGTTGTATTGAATTGAAATATAAATGATGATACAAAGAGAAGATATATATAGGCTACATTATAACGGCTAGCCCGACCTTACTTATCTGAATCACTTGCTTGACCGTTGTGTTGAGAGCACAGGACCCTTCAGTACATTCTTTGACTTGCCCGTTGTCTTAGTGCCGTTGGTCTCTCACAGTGTTCTGTATAACAACTTATATTTTGGTAGGAGTAATTACACTAACCTCACTGCTTCTTCAATTTCTGGATGGCTTTTCAAGGCGGCTATGTAGAAGACCCCAAGAGAAGCCCAGATCAGTTACTTCATTCCTCCCAAAATCATGAGCATGAAGAATACGGGCAACATTTCCAGCGATTTTTGACGTCCTCTCTGAATACAGTTGAAGAGCTTGGCATCCTTGTTTTCAGATTCCACAGCATAGAACGTGGGATAGTTCACCTTGTACTCGGCCATGTCCACCTGCTCCATTCTACAACCTCACCACGACTTCGTCATGTCTGACATTCAGTCCGCCATCATTCCTTCGTCTCCGGCCACAGTCTTCGCCCTCATGAACTGCTCCATCAACTCGCCGGTGCAGCGAGCCGCCATCAACATCCTCAAGCTTGCCGCGCTGCAAGTCCAAGACCCAGATCTGTCTCGCCGGCCATCTCCATCCTCACAGCCGGATCTGTCTCGCCGGCGCCATCAACATCCTCACAGCCCGCCATCTTCAATAGCCGGATCTGCCTCGCCGTCTCTCTTACAGTCGCCATCGATCGCATCTCATCTGTCGCCTCCCTCTGTTCTCATCAATTTTCTTTCGCACTCTTATTGTGAGAATAGGGTGGAATTAACTATTATACAAATTAGGACATTTGGCCTATTTTTTGAATTGAGAAGATTTTGGGCTCCGTCGGATTGGGCCTATTATTGTGAAAAAATATATATATAACTGTTTCCTTGTTTGGACTGTTCCAAACCCGGTTTGTAGAATCGGCCAGTCAAGTTCTAGGTTCTCCTGATATTCCTCTAGAATGTATTCCGATCAGTTTCAGTTTCCAGAGTACAGCTTGCCTAGTTTCTCGGCATTAATCTGGCTCTTTCGTGCACTTCCAAACGCTCAGTCATCGACATTTCTATCATGCGTTTCCAAACCCTCTGTCATGTGCTTCTAAGCACTCTCACATGCTCCTAAGCACATTATACCACCCTATCAAATAGTAATTCCGTTTTGTCATAGACATCCGTGTGTCGTGCTCCCAAACACCTCAAGTGGTAAATCCACTTTATGATTTCATTTTATTATTAGCTTTCAAGAACTCGTGATTACCATACTTGCCGTTAAGTGGTTCTTATGAATGATGCCTAAAACACTTAAGAATCACCCAAGTTTTAAGTATTGTAATTGAGATTCAAACGTACAACTTCTTCTTAAAGATTAATTCTTACCCATTTTCCCCAGTGTCTGAGTTCGATGATCACATAAATTATGAAGTATCCCAAACATTCTGAGCCACTGCAGTCTTTTTCCATTCAAACATTTTTTATTTTCAATTCACTCTTCTCTCCGAGATAGCTCATTTTATTTATAAACTTCTCTTTTGAGCTCTGTTGATGACCGCGCCACGATAGCTGACTAAGTGGCGCCACCTCTGCAACATAGGCACAACTGGCCAGTGCTGACCTGGCGTGCCCACATTGGATTAGGTTTTCTCAAGCTACCTATCCAATAACGGAACTCACTGGTCGAGGGAGGGGTCGCTACCCTTCCTCTACTGTGGACGCGCCTCGCTCCAGTCGGATGGGCTCCTCCCCCCCCTGGCTCGCTCGAGGGTGCTCTCTGAAAGAGCAACATCGACTAACCTGTGTACATGTTTCCCTTCTTGGCAAAGAAGACCTCGGGATAGAACTGGGATGGGAACCTGCGAGGTCATGAAGGCAGGACCTCGAAAGGGGCCTATCCCCACTGAAGCACGGGAATTTGAGGACATGTGGATAGGTGGCTGAGATCTAAGGGGTCACCTCAGTCCGAGGCCAGCACAAGGGGGAAAGGATACCCGGTACCTAAGCTCGAGCGATAAAGGATAAGCAATGCATTAATTGCGAAAGACATTTAATAAGACCCGCATTAATTAGGGAGCGCTGTTACCTCCTTTGACTGGGGGGCAAAGCGCCGCGGCCCATCCATCAATGTCTCATCCGTCAGAGGAAGAGACTATTAAACCTGTGGATAAGAGCGGGCTTAGCTAAAGGACCAAAAGACATTGACCGAAGAGGAAAACACTATAAATAGGGGTGTTAATCAGCCTTAAACACACACAACCACCACATTAACACTTATCCTCTGACAAGCTCGAGGTTGCATGGTACCGAGGTCGGCCTTCCCTTTCTTAATCTCCATACCTAGAGAATCCCAGGTGTTGTTTGGATCCCCACTTGGATACTGATCTCAGATCTCTTGGCTTACGTGGAACGATCTCTCATCCTATTCACGAACTACCATCAACAAGCTGTAGGAAAAAAATTTACAAATAAAAGCAGAAAAGCATTTATACTGTAGCCTGAGTTATCAACGGGCACCATATTTATATTCTTATTTTCTAATGGCTACAGGCACTGCTATTTTGGTGTAGGGTCGTTCTTGTTGGCAACCTTAACTAATTAGCCTCCAAATGGAAGGTAATTTATTTTTGGTCACGAATTGGTTACATGGAATTGGACCATTCCTTGGATTACGTGGAACGTAAACTATGATGGTTGGCAGTTCCTAAATCAAGGCAGTGAATGCTGATTGCTGAAGAGATGGCATAGTGATCCAATTTAACATTGAAGGAGCATTGGGTCCCATCATTAGCTAATGGATGTTTTTAAGCTGGATCCTGTGGTCAGGCTGATTTGATTGTGTTGGTTGAGAAAGAAATTATTTTGCTTGTCAAATGTAGCTTGAGATATATGATTTTAAGCAACTCTTGGGGACTTTATATTACTATCCCTTTATTTGGATACAAGTATTGCTTTAATCATAGGAGAGTTCCTTTATTATATAAGCTGGCTTTTTATCAGCTTTGTTTGGAGAATGAGAAGAAAGTTTGTTGGAATGCTGGGGTACGAAACAGCAATGAACTACTGATTGCAGCTTATGGGGTTCATGTTACCTATCAAAATTATCTTAGATTTATAATCTTGTGATTCTCCAATGATTGCAGTTTTCTGTTGCTCATATTGTTTGCTAATTACCTTAAATCTAAAACCTTACGTTTCTTAATATCTTTTGTCTATAAAAGCTTGAACATATTTCTCTGTTGAAATTCGTTTGTAATTGACGCTTTGAATAATCTCACAGAACATTGATTTTGATGACGATGAAGATGACTTCAACATGGCTGACGACAATGATGATGGTATGTGCTTTGTCTTATTTGCACTTCATTTTTTTTATAATTTCAAATTGGGACATTTCTTGTATTTGAATGGAGAATTATCAACTTTTGATATTGATGATTGGTCTAACAATAATTCTCACCAATAATTTGTAATGTTGCAGAAGCGGCGTATTAGATGTTGCTCTTGGGAATGCTTTTCTGGCTTTCTTCAACTTGGCAAATGGAAGCATTCCTTTTCCCCATACCAAATCAGATGAGTTTGAGTAATTAGCATAAGGTTGCTATACAGTCAGAGGGCCTTCTTTTTTGTTTTTTGCCATTTTTTTCTGATTGATTAGGTAAAGAATCAAACTGCTAACCCTACTGCTTCTTTTTAGATACCATGCCATGTTGATTTGACCGAAAGAATCTTATGGCTTTTCTAAAGTGCAAAGGAGGCTACATTACAGTGAGGGGATGATGGAACTCACTTGGTTGCTTATATCGGTTTGAGTGAATTAGATTATCTCACTTAAATATATGTTCATCTCTTCCAGATTGTGTCAAGCATCCAAAGATCAGCCATCAAGTGTATTGCTTCTTTGCCACTCAGCAGTTACTATAATGTTTGCCATTGCATATTCTGTTTTTGCTTTCTGTTCACTGTATTTCTTTTTTAAATTTTCGTCTTGAATTTAGCCATTTGTAAGTTTTTGATTGAGGTAGGTTGACAAAATGGTTGTCTTTATTTAGTCTGGTGATACTTATGTCATTGCATTTCATTTGGATTTGACTTGGTACTTTTCTCATTTTAATGTTGGCTGGTCATATTTTGTGAGTCTGTAACTCTGGTTTTTACTTTTTCGTTTGCAGTCTCTATAAAAAGGGGAGCTTCTCTCTAGTCATGTAATTTCTAACATGGATGCGAGTCCTACTCTGTCCTTATTGGGAGGGGTTTTTGTGTATCAAGTCCATTCTAACAGGCTGAGTGTTTGGCCCTTATAAGCCAAGACACTCTCACGTGGGACAAGAACCTCCAACATTTTGTTTCATCCGAACTCGCGCTACAGCAAGACTTATTCCTTGTCTACCTTAACAGGTTAAGGACATCCGATTACAGACTAGGATTGGAATTGCTCTAAACTACTGATAACGTGTTGGACATTTGTCATTCGATTCACAAGCTTAACTTGTTAAGTAAAGCTGCCTATCCATCCTAATAAACTCTCCAACTGGATCTGATATGACACGAGAATTTCTATAACATCAATCCATTTCATGTTTCTTTATTCTCACCTACACGAGCATGCGCAGATGTTATGGACGTGCTTATGATTGCCAAAAGAAGAAAAAATGGAAAATGAAATTAGTAGGAACTATTATCAGAATATTATTAGGAACACAAGTCTGGACTAATCTGATTAATCCAAGTATAATTTCGGTTTGGAGCCTTGGAGCTTAGGTTGTGCTCAGGTTGAATGTTTTATATATTGGTGGAGTTTGGATTGATTCCTTGATTTGTTCAAAATGCAATAATTAGTTGTCTAAGTTGCATATTTACTTATTTGGAGAAAACAAAAATTGGATCTTTATTTCTCTTGCAATATTAAACAGCCATAAAGTAAAAAAAACCTTAAATTAAAGCACAAAGTTGTTTGACATTGCTACATTATTTAAGGGTAATTTAGAGTAACCTTTTCTAAAGTTTGGCAAAATTGTGCGGACCTCTATAATTTTTAAAATTATACTTGATTTCTCTCCTAAGAGCTAATTAGGGAGTTTAGTGCAATTTTTGAAATTATTAAGTCTTTAAAATTATACTAGATTTCTCTCCTAAGGGCTAATAAGGGAGTTTAGTGCAATTTTTGAAATTATTAAGTCTTAGAATTGTAATATAATTTTAACTTTTTTAAGAAAAGTAATTTTTAAACCCCACCACATATATACCAAAATATAAGTTGTTGTACAGAACACTCTGAGAGACCAACGGCACTAAGACAACGGGCAAATCAAAGAATGTACTGAAGGGTCCTGTGCTCTCAACACAACGGTCAAGCAAGTGCTTCAGATAAGTAAGGTCGGGTTATAATGTAGCCTATATATATCTTCTCTTTGTATCATCATTTACATTTCAATTCAATACAACTTCAATATATCTCTGTATATCTCTGTCTCTCTCTATCTCTCATAATCAACATGGTCTCAGAGCCACCGCCGATGAGGCTTATGCCGACATCTCCGGCGGTGGTCCAAGGTCCTCAATTAAACCAACCTCTAAGTCATCGTCTCCGCCTCTGTTCTCGTTCTCAACTCTGACCTTGTCCTCTCTTTCTGCAACTGCAAACTACAAAGTCTGCAAGAATCAAAAATTCAAAACCCATATCTTTCAGTTTCCATAGCCCGCTGTTCCAGTTCGGCCCGCTGTCTCTGAACTCTCAAGCTTCAGCCGCCGGCCCGCTGTCTCTCATCAGAACGGATTCGCGATCTCAGCCGGATTCTTCAACCGTCGCCGAGCGGACCTCAGCCGGATTCTTCACCACAATTTCCGCTGCTCATCTCTGCCGCCAGCACTGTCATCTCATCTGCCGTCGCTGCCCATCTCCACTGCTCATCTCTGTCGCCGCCGATCGCACACCACATCAGAGTCTCTCACAAAATCAATCTTATTCACTATCTTCTTCTTAGCTTCAAGAGTCGATCGGAATCGGAAAAATGGCCGGAATCGAGTTGCTGCCCAAAGAATACGGATTCGTTGCCCTTGTGCTCGTTCTCTACTGCTTCTTCAATTTTTGGATGGCTTTTCAAGGCGGCCGGCTATGTAGAAGACCCCAAGAGGAGCGCAGATCAGTTACTTCATTCCTCCCAAAATCATGAGCATGAAGAACACGGGCAACATTTCCAGCGATTTTTGATGTCCTCTCTGAATACAGTTGAAGAGCTTGGCATCCTTGTTTTCAGATTCCACAGCATAGAGCGTGGGATAGTTCACCTTGTACTCGGCCATGTCCACCTGCTCCATTCTACAACCTCACCACGACTTCGTAATGTCTGACATTCAGTCCGCCATCATTCCTTCGTCTCCGGCCACAGTCTTTGCCCTCATGACCTACTCCATCAACTCGCCGGTGCAGCGAGCCGCCATCAAAATCCTCAAGCTTGCCGCGCTGCAAGTCCAAGACCAAGATCTGTCTCGCCGGCCATCTCCATCCTCACGGTCGGATCTGTCTCGCCGGCGCCATCAACATCCTCACAGCCCGCCATCTTCAATAGCCGGATCTGTCCCGCCGGATCTGTCCCGCCGGCTCTCCTACAGCCGCCATCGATCGCATCTCATCTGTCGCCTCCCTCCGTTCTCATCAATTTTCTTTCGCACTCTTATTGTGAGAATTGGGTGGGATTAACTATTATACAAATTAGGACATTGGGTCTATTTTTTGAATTGTGAAGATTTTGGGCTCCGTCGGATAGGGCCTATTATTGTGAAAAAATATATATATAACTGTTTCCTTGTTTGGACTGTTCCAAACCCGGTTTGTAGAATCGGCCAGTCAAGTTCTAGGTTCTCCTGATATTCCTCTAGAATGTATTCCGATCAGTTTCAGTTTCCAGAGTACAGCTCGCCTAGTTTCTTGGCATTAATCTGGCTCTCTCATGCGCTTCCAAGCGCTCATTCATCGACATTTCTATCAAGCGTTTCCAAACACTCTGTCATGTGCTTCTAAGCACTCTCACATGCTCCTAAGCACATTATACTACCCTATCAAATAGTAATTCCGTTTTGTCACAGGCATCTGTGCGTCGTGCTCCCAAACACCTCAAGTGGTAAATTCACTTTATGATTTCATTTTATTATTAGCTTTTAAGAGCTTGTGATTAACATACTTGCCTTAAAATGGTTCTTATGCGCCGTATCTCAAATGGTTATACCATTTTATAAAATAGTAATTTCGCCGGAGATGACTCAGAGGTTGGGTTAATTGAGGACCTTGGACCACCGCCGGAGATGTCGGCATAAGCCTCATCGGCGGTGGCTCTGAGACCATGTTGATTATGAGAGATAGAGAAAGACAGAGATATACAGAGATATATTGAAGTTGTATTGAATTGAAATGTAAATGATGACACAAAGAGAAGATATATATAGGCTACATTATAACGGCTAGCCCGACCTTACTTATCTGAATCACTTGCTTGACCGTTGTGTTGAGAACACAGGAGCCTTCAGTTGTCTTAGTGCCTTTGGTCTCTCATAGTGTTCTGTATAACAACTTATATTTTGGTAGGAGTAATTACACTTACCTCACTGCTTCTTCAATTTCTGGATGGCTTTTCAAGGCGGCTATGTAGAAGACCCCAAGAGAAGCCCAGATCAGTTACTTCATTCCTCCCAAAATCATGAGCATGAAGAATACGGGCAACATTTCCAGCGATTTTTGACGTCCTCTCTGAATACAGTTGAAGAGCTTGGCATCCTTGTTTTCAGATTCCACAGCATAGAGCGTGGGATAGTTCACCTTGTACTCGGCCATGTCCACCTGCTCCATTCTACAACCTCACCACGACTTCGTCATGTCTGACATTCAGTCCGCCATCATTCCTTCGTCTCCGGCCACAGTCTTCGCCCTCATGAACTGCTCCATCAACTCGCCGGTGCAGCGAGCCGCCATCAACATCCTCAAGCTTGCCGCGCTGCAAGTCCAAGACCCAGATCTGTCTCGCCGGCCATCTCCATCCTCACGGCCGGATCTGTCTCGCCGGCGCCATCAACATCCTCACAGCCCGCCATCTTCAATAGCCGGATCTGTCCCGCCGGATCTGCCTCGCCGTCTCTCTTACAGCCGCCATCGATCGCATCTCATCTGTCGCCTCCCTCTGTTCTCATCAATTTTCTTTCGCACTCTTATTGTGAGAATAGGGTGGGATTAACTATTATACAAATTAGGACATTGGGCCTATTTTTTGAATTGAGAAGATTTTGGGCTCCGTCGGATTGGGCCTATTATTGTGAAAAAAGATATATATAACTGTTTCCTTGTTTGGACTGTTCCAAACCCGGTTTGTAGAATCGGCCAGTCAAGTTCTAGGTTCTCCTGATATTCCTTAGAATGTATTCCGATCAGTTTCAGTTTCCAGAGTACAGCTTGCCTAGTTTCTCGGCATTAATCTAGCTCTTTCGTGCACTTCCAAACGCTCAGTCATCAACATTTCTATCATGCGTTTCCAAACACTCTGTCATGTGCTTCTAAGCACTCTCACATGCTCCTAAGCACATTATACCACCCTATCAAATAGTAATTCCGTTTTGTCATTGGCATCCGTGTGTCCTGCTCCCAAACACTTCAAGTGGTAAATCTACTTTATGATTTCATTTTATTATTAGCTTTCAAGAACTCGTGATTACCATACTTGCCGTTAAGTGGTTCTTGTGGTTCTTATACGCGGTATCTCAAATGATTATACCATTTTATAAAATAGTAATTTCGCTCTGTCACAAGCATCCGTGCATCTCTCCACTCTATGATTCCATTTTAATATTCGCTTTCAAGAGCTGGTACCACACTTGATAGCCGCTAGCTTTTAAGCATCTAAATGTATCGCTCTCTCCGTCTCGCTCTCGCTCTCTCTCTCTCTCGTAATCAACAAGAGTCATTTATTGGAGTCTCCCGGCTAGCCGAACTCATTCAAGATCACCCGTAGCTCACCGCACCTTCGCTAAAGAACGAATCTCCGATCGAACTAAGTAAAGAGCTAGCGTGTCGCTTCGCTTTCAGCATTGTTGTGGTCTTCTTTCCATCCTTAAGGAACTCAGGAAATAGTGCTTTAGCTTTTCCATCATTCCTGGTGAGACCTCTTTGCTAACCTTCGGTTTCATACCCTTCTCCGGCTATATGACCAAAGCAACCCTTCGAGCGTGGGCATAACGAGTGCAGAGGCAGAAAGCAAGAAAACGAGTTCTATGGCCAGAGTCAAAGGCTTGAAAAACAGCCGATTTGAGGCATAGATAGGGAAATCCATCACCGGCCACGACGGCAACAAATGGGCTCAGACCTCTTCTTTTCCCGAGGTTTCTCTCTCTCTATATATATTATGTTTCTACTCGAGATTTATTTTTATTAATCTGTTAAGTTATAATATTGGTTATTAATGATTATATTGCGTTGATTAGTTAATTTGATTTATCCTGTCTCTCTTCAAATTTACGCTATTTGGTTGTAATTGGTTTTCTATGGATCTGTACAACT